CCTAGGGTGTTATAAAAGAGAAGATCATGGTGATATAGGGTAAAGAGCCACAAAATTAGGCCAAATAAGCAGATATGAAGGTTAATTATGTTGAAAATCTGCTCATGTATGTGTTCCTTGCTTGTTACAAAGTTCAGTAATCTCTTATGCTCTTACCTATGCTTTAATTATGCTCAAAATATTGTATATCTCATATCCCTTCTTTCATTCAACCACTACCCTAAACCTCATTACTACCCTTGTAAAGTCCTTTTGATCCTTGGTGTTGCATGGTATTATGTGGAGAGCAGATTGGATAATGAGCTTATGGGGTTCGGAATTTTTGATTTTGCTCTAAGTGTGTGCGCATGTACTTATTTCAGTTGCAGGTGTTGTTCTGATTTGGCATTCACACACTACACTTAAGGATGTCATTGTGAGCTGTGCTTTCTCGTGAATCATGTATGGAACTTAGATTATGATTTTTATGTTTCTTTGGAACCATATACGTTGGTGATTCTTTGAGGATATTGTTCGGAAGGCTAGTTGCGTATTTCCTGTTTCCTAAGTTGTAATTTTCCTTTGTTTTGCTCGAGGACTAGCAAAATTTAAGTTTGGGGTTATTTGATAAGTTCATAATTTCATACATTCGCATGACTTCTCTACTTAGTGACTTTGCTTAGTTTCTCTTTATTTTGAGTCACTTACCTCTTTTTATTTGTTTTGTAGGTTAAGACAGCAAGAGATCACATTTGATGCAATCCATGCTTGTTAAGGGCTGATTGGGATAAGAGGAATATGAGCTTAAAGACAAACCCAATTTGGGCCACACTCCTTGTCAGTCCAGTTTCGTAGGTCATTTTGGACGCCCCATTTCAGCAACTTACACAGGTCGGATGAGGAGACATCCTTGATAGAAGTTGTTCCAATGGGTGTCTATTATCACATATCAAAATTTCAGCCTAATTGGATAAATCTGGAGCCCTCAGAACATTAAAGACTTAACCAAGTTCACAAAAATGTCATGTTCGCTGTCATCACATTTAAATGTGTCTACACTAGAGCCATGTGCTAACTATGGGCAGCCACACATGGGAGTCAAATCAGCTCAGAAACTCAGAAGGATGAACAAAAGTCAAGTTTTCCATTAAAAAACCATACCAAAGCATGTATTTGGAAGCTGGAGCAGTTGGCAAGTATGGGCAGCTGGAGCAAGTGGCAAGCATGGGCAGAAGGGAGCAGTTGGGAGCAGCTAAGAGAGGTGTGCTTCACCAGCCAAAGGGGAGGACGAAATTTCTCTCTATAAATAGAGAGCTGCTCACTCATTCAAGGGAGATAGGCAGACACACACATTCACTTCATCCATTACTCTCAAACACACATTCAGATTCACCACAAAGTGAGAAGAGAGCTGGAGCTGTCCTGGGAATTCCTTGCTGCCATCATCTAGTTCTTCTCCTCTCTTTATCCTATCTATGTATTTCTTATTTTCTGTATTCATAGTTATGTCTAACTAATCCATTTAGTTAGGGCTTAGGATGAAGCCCTAGTCATGAATATTCAATGTTATGGATGATTTTATAGTTAATTGATTTCCTTGCTTTCATTATCAAGTTGTGAATCTCCAGTTTATTATGTGCTTGATGTATGTTTTCTTAGAGTAGCTAACTAGGATTTTATGCATCTAGCACAGGTTGGGAAGGGGTTTAGATTCACCAATTCTACTCTCCTTTCACAAGCAACACATGAATGGCCTAAGAATCATTCAAGGGGTTAATAACCATAGGTTGACTAGGACAGATACCATGTTCTAGGACTTGTGTGATTATCATATTCTCAAGGAGCTTAATGACTCTTGTATGCTTTATTCTAAGTAGATACCATGCTTAGGTTGCATATTAGAGATCACGTGTTGTGTAGATACCATGCACAATTACATGCGTTAGAAGAATCATGCGCCCTGCACCTAGATACCATAGGCTTGTATGCGATAATCTGTTGTTGATGAAGCTTGAGTCAATTTCTATGCATTCATAACTTGGATAGGAAAATGAGTGGTGGATTTGAAGGCTCTAACACCTCTCAATTATTGTTTCACAATCTGTTCAGTGTTTATTTTCGAGCACTTTCATTTCACTTTCTTCTTTTCATTTCAACAACAAAACCCCCCATTTTGAGTGCGTGTATGGTGCTAGGATTCTGTCCTAGACCTTGAGTAATTAGCAAGAGACATTGTTGAATTCAACCTTGCCTTTAGCTAGTTAGTCAGTTTCCTTGTTCTATATTTTTCTAGCATTCTAAGTAATTTAACTTGGAACCAGGTTACCATTCTCCGTGGGATCGACCTCATATTTACATAAGCTATACTATAAACGGTTCGTGCACTTGCGAGAATTAAAGTTGCTGTTTTTAATAACTCATTTTAGTTGTTAGGAATTGAATCAACAGATGCTGGAGAGGAGAGGAATAAGACTGAGGATGTTGGAGAGGAGAGGAATAAGACTGAGGATGCTGGAGAGGAGAGTCAGAAGACTGAGGATGAGGGTGCTGGAGTGGAGAGTCAGAAGACTGAGGATGCTGGAGAGGAGAGTGACAAAACTGAGGATGCTGGAGTAGCCGAATCGAGAGAGTAGTGTGTACAAAATGCTAAAGAAGAGGTGCAATATACACCTTGGGATATAAATTGGGATGATCCGGTTGTGGTGTGTGTCACCCTTGTTAAATTTCTTACGAATCCTCCTCGAAAGATTAACATGTCCACTGCTGAGGGTGAATGTGGTGAAGATGTTATAGTTGGGGTCCGACAAAAGAGGGGTCGGGGAAATAGTGAGATTCTTGGCCCTGCGATGAAGAGGTGAAGGGCAGTGGTGAGGGAAACTCCATGGACAGGTCTGGAGATTCCCAATATTTTGGAGGATAAAATTGCTAACCCCCTAAGGTCTGTTCCTCGTGATTCCCTTTTGGAGGTTGCGAAATTCTGCTGGGAATGGGGACAAGAAGAAAAGTAAGTTCCCCTTGCCTGTCCTTAGTGAAATGTAAATGATTTATTATGATTAGTTATTGAGTGAATGGTGAAACAGAATTGATAATAACAATGATTCACAAATATAGTTCACATGTGCGGTTATGTGGAGAAGACGGTATGGAAGTTTCGCATAACTTCTTTGTTCAATTGCTGACCAAGGATGGTTGGTTGGATGACTCGGTAAGCATTGATTGATTTGAGATTTTGTCGAAATGCCCATGCTATGTAGTGATTTATTGATTCAATAATGGAAACAACTCTTTTATGTAGAACATAGACATGGCCTTGTTTTTGCTACGGGAGCGGCACAAGAGCTCTGGCAACTGGGTAGGTTCTGACTGGACGATACTGGACACCACTTTTCAGGTATGTATTATTTCTTAAGCATTGTTTATTTTCAAATTTGGTGTCCGTTAGGATGCATAACTCGTGTGCCACTATGCAGAAATGTGTTGCCTTGGATTACAGGTAGCACAACAAGGGTCTACTGGGAATGGTAAAGGGTGAAGGACCTAAGTTGGCTAAATCATGGTTGTCTATGAATCGCGTTTGTTTGCCCTTCAACCTACAAAGGCAGAAGCACTGGATCTTACTTGTTGTCGATTTAAAAGAGTGTGAGATAAGGGCATATGATTCAAAAGTAGATATGTGCAGAACTCAAGCCATCCAATGGGCCGTGCAGCCGGTGGAGAAAATGCTGCCCCGGTTGTTAAAGGAATCTGGATATATTGGCAATGGTCTACTTCTGAAAACTGAGTGGCCAGTTATTCGCGCCATGGATGCACCCCAACAAGTAGGCAGGTGAGTAATATTCCACCTAACCACATTGTCTTATGAAATGGATTTGTTGTACAATGAATCACAACTTCTTCGCTATGTTTCAGGGGCGACTGTGGGATGTACATCCTCAAATACTGCGAGTTTCTGACCTCGAATGTAGACCTGGCCAACATTTCCCGTGACGCTATGCCCTTCTATCGGTTGAAGCTCGTTGTACAGTTGTTGCAGGGATATTGGTAGCTGTGATTCATTAGGAGATACTATAACTTACAAAGTTTCTATATGAACTTGTAAAGTTAATTTAACCGGGTGGGCAATTTTGTTGGTAACAGACCTTATATTCACAAGTTACAAAACAAACTCTTCTATAATATAAGGGAAGCTTGAAAAGCTTTCTTCGCATGCTTGAGCGCATATTTCCCCTTTCTATTTTAGTAAGGTTTTGGAAAGGTAGGTTTCTTGTTTGTTAAGGAACAAAGTCTTCTTTATGATCCAACTCCCTCTTTTCACTTAAAATTAAAGAATTAGTTTTTGTATTCTGCTCAAATACAAGCTGTATGATCAACACATATTGTTGACAGTATGCTGAACCCGAACCTTAAATGGTGCATGATTCTTTTCAAATGTTGAATAAATAGTAATGTATCTTGTTTGGGGCAAACACGATTGTGAAGTTGCAGGCATATGAAATGTTGAAGTTTTTCATTGACTAATTGTGCTGAAGGCTTAATTATATTTGTACATTTCCAAACACATCTTATATGTAGCTGTTCGGATTACAAAATTACAAAACAAATACTTAAACCCAAAACATTTCTTACTTTTTCATCAATTTAATAGCCAAATTCAGAAATGATAGAAGTAACGACAGTAGGAGGATTTTATTAATGCCCTTCAGTATACAGATTACTTCAGCATATGCATTAAGTTCCTTCACATACACCTGGCTTTGAATGTCAGATTCAGGTGGGGTGTTGGTTGTTGTCACCAATTCATAGCCACTACACCTTGTAGCTCCCTATAAAAAAAACAAAAAAAACTACATTTTTCAGTGTGGGATTACAATGTCAGACCATATTCTTTTATCTGGAGCAGTTTCAGTTTGGGATTACTGTTTATTATATACAGCTTATTCGGTTTTACATACGAGGTTTGGGAAGATTATACTTACATATGTTGTGAAGCACTTCCAATACGGTCTGCCCAGATTCCTTTCGGATTTGGAAATTAGCTTCACCATCTCAGCACTGCAGTGCCGACACCTCTTTGCTTCAGTGTTTGATGAAAAAATCGACATCGCTTTGCCCAGAGTTGAAAATGAAGAAAACAAAAGAATTATACCCTTCCAAATATTTGGTCAAAACCCCCAAATTATTTTCCTCCAATTCTGAAATGGAATTGGATTTTATTATTTGGTTGAAACATATATGGAGTTTGAAGTTTGAATTCGCCTGTTTTGGCCCTGACAATTCGTGAGCGGGAAATTCCAAAGTTGAATATATATATATATATATATATATTTAACCCTAATGCATGAGCGGGAAAGCATAGGAATGCGCCGCATGTCGCTGAGGGCTGCAGCTACCCACTCCGGCTCCGCCACTTGGCATTCCGTGTGTATTTTATTCTTTTTTTTTTTTTTCTTCAGAAAATCGTAAAAAATACAGGAAAATTCAGAAAAAATGGGGAAAAATTCCTAAGTATGTATCGGGATGAATACTTCGTCAGGAGTTTTGACTTATACTTCTCGAGGAGTTTTTGGTTAAATAAGCTATTTAAATCACTTCTCAAGGAGTTTTTGACTTATACTTCTCAAGGAATTTTGTATTTTTGTTGTTGTTGCAACAATCGTAAACATTGCATGACAAATTCCGAATGTGAAGGGGAAAAACCCAACACTTATTTCCCTCCTTAAATTCGTTATTTAAATCATTATGTTAGTGGAAATAGAATTTCGGATTTCTTTTTTAAACTATTTTTTATCTTTGAAATATAGTTTCAAATGCAGGACAAATCAGGAAATGTGGGGAAATTGAAAACGTCATTAAAGGATCACCAGAGTGTCTTAGAAGATCAAGGATGGCTCAGACCCGGTCTGACTGAAAGGATAATCCCTTATGCGTTGACAACACGCAACCTCCCTGGCATTTTGGTGTCTGTCATCTTCAACGAATGACTACTTCGGGAATCGGAACCAGCAATTCCCTATTTCAGAACACATAGTCAAACTATAGGACCCAAAACCATCCAAAACATATGCACGCAAGCTACAAAGGTCTATGGAACACAAACGTCTACAAACATAAACTTAAATTGGATCTTAAAAGTGCACCGATTACAAAAACAGACCTTTAAACCATAAACAGGACTTAAAACCACAAACGCCTACAACATTAACATAAACAGACCTTGAATTCAAAACATTAAACAGAAGGTAAACTTCCCCTGTAAATAAAAACAAACAAAACCCAAAACACACTTTAATACCCATATCATACCATGAATATTTAATTTATTAAATCCAACAGGTCTCCCTACGGAGTTTGCGCTCGAAGCAGTACAGCTCCCTCTTCCATTTGCAGGGTTCACAACAGTTCCACGTAGCTACCATGTCAGAGTAGTCGCCCGCCCAGTCCCATGAGAATTTGAAATACCACTCCCGATTACCCTCACAGTTAACACCCTTACAGTTAACACCCTTACAGTTAACGCAGGTAAGAAAAAAATTTCTGTCAGCAGTAAACTTTGCAAGAGTTGGAGGAGTCACCATGCCCGAAAATGGTATACCTTATCAGTCGATTAAAAAATGATGCCCTGCATGCTTGCATGTCAATTTTCTTCGTTTTGCTTAAATGGCACAACCATTCCATCGCATCCTCTTCGCCCTCCGTAGGGTTCACCAGCCCTAGCAAGCCAACAATGTAGGAGGATTCCATATGCCCTGCTTTAGCCGCCACCCGGAAGTTGTTGACAACCTCATCATCTTTGAATATGAAGAATTGAGTTACAGCTTCTCTGTAAATGATTTCTGGATTGTTGTGTTCCTTGCACTTTTGCAAGAACTCAACAAGTTTCTCTTGATGAAACCCGTACCATTTAGGATGCCACTGGTACTTCTCTACAGACACAATTCGCCAAACCTCAGGATCATTTAGCATTTCTTGAAATAACTTGCATGTCCCGCCATGCTGTATAGATCTTCAGACGAGTGCTTTGCAACCAAAAGCAGCACCTTAAACCATGCCTCTGTGGGGATGTCCATATAGGTTGTTGGAGAAGAGGGAGTGCAAAAGGTATGTGGAGGAATAATGAATGGTGTGTCTGGACAAATCAAGAAGAAATGCATATATTGGAACGAACCGTCGTCACCTAAACTATGGACGAAGACAACATTGGGTTTAGATCATGTATTATTTTGCTTCGTTTCTTAACCGGTGTGACTGAAAGGACAATTCACACACCTCGATGATCGAGGTTATGGCGGTAAATTGGTCTTCTCGCGGCTCCATGCCTAGGTACACCTCGTGGGTGTTCGCATTTATGATACTACTAATCAACGTCAGCAGTCAAAAAATTAAATATACTTTTTATGATAATGCGAACACCGCTACTTATGGAGGTAAAATTCATTGCATGTGAATAATTTAACAGCCAAGTATGAAACAAAATATCATATGAACGCACCATTAACAGTACAGAAAATGAAAGTAGTGTTTATGACATCCCCAGTTATGAAGGTAATATGAATTTAACATGAGCAAGTAAACAATTTCATCTTCTAAAATATGATACTAAATATGAACTCATATCACTAGTAAAGAAACAAAAAAAATATGCTTGTGGTACTTATAATGCAAATATCACATCACAAGTTGTGAAGGTAACTTACATTTGAACATAACCAAGTCAACAGTTTCAACTTCGCAAATATGATACTAAATACAAACGGTAAAAATATCGTATATGATACAAATAATGCAAATATGACATCACCAGTTCTCAAGGTAACTAAAGTTGCAGCTCCCCACTCGAAGTCAACATTGGCATTTTGGCGGGTAAAATGAAAATGGGGACTGCTCTATAAATACCAATATAAGAGTATTTTACCTCCCATTGCACCTCCACTTGCTCTAAACAAGCCTAAACTCATAATGGGTTCCCCTACAAAAATCCCCTCATACTTATAACAACTCCAGCAAAAAATGCAGAACCTTTGTCACAAAGGAATACTAAAGTTGAAGATGTTGCTGATGGAGCTGCGAAATCCATAAACTTTTCATCTGAGGACCACGATGATGTAGCTCGGATTGGCAAGATGAGGTATGATGCGTTGATCATGGAAATCAAATGCCTGAAGATACGTCTAAGATGGTATCAAGAAACATTGGGGAAGGAGAAAAAGAAAGAGAAATTCCACCTTCGATCAGTTCAAAGAATGAAAGTGAGGGTTTGGCTTGCGAAAGGGAAAGGTGTTCGAAGGTTCAGTACTTCAAATGAGTCTGTGCAGATGAGGGAAACAGAAGCATGCAAAGGGTTTGACCTGTTCCGCGAGTTTGCAAGATGTGTTGTCCCAACCTACAACTGGGACGGGATCACCATGGAGTAAACCGTCCCTAGATAAAATTCATTTTGGGGGTTGTCAGTATTTTGTTCGGAACAAGTGTGTGGTTCATTTTGAGTACGTTTTTTGGCATTTTGTGTGGGCTCCTGAAGGTGTAAAAACTGTGGTTTGAAGTGTTCATAGTTCTTAGGTAATGTATCCAACTGTAAGATGTGAAGGACAACTGTAAACAAATGTGGAAACTATTATGAGTTTTTTAAGCGTACTTTTGTCTACATAAATTGTTGTGCTTTTATGAAGTTTGTTTATATTATTTTTTGATCACATATTTCTTTGTGTTATTTTATAACGCCTAAAAGGCATGGAATAGAAACAACAGAGGTGGATTTCTTGATAATCCATGTATTTATGTCGCATAGTAATCAAGTAATGGAGGGTTGGCTTTATCTCGTTCGTTTAGGGATGACAATGGGTTGAATCGGGGGTGAGTAAGCCATTTCCATGGCCCGCCCCATTAGGGAAGAAAAAACCAATTATATAACTACTATGTTGAAAAGAAAAAAGAGCAGTAAGACAACATAATGAATATATAAAATACATACTTAGAAGACAATATAACAATGTTTATATATATGTTGGAAGTTAACTAAATAAATAAATACTATGGCTTAAGATTTGT